AACATCGCATTTGTATTCATTTTCTAACCACTGTCTGTTTCAATGTACATCACGATAGTAAAATGAAGTGCTGCTTCTAGAGAGTACCAAGCCGTGGTGAGACTGAAAAGACACACTRTGTATCAAGATGGATGTCCAGTTACGCAGCCTAGTGATGCACGTGTGTGCATTAGTGTTGAGCATAGCTATGGCTTATGGCATGCAGGTGTGCAAGTTTGAGAAAAACACTAGAGTTTTCATTAAGTCAGTAGTCTTTGGATTAAGCACAATTTCTAAGCATGTGATAATGCAGTGAAACAGTGATGCCTTACAACTGATGATCTGATGTAAGAACTGGTAAGACTATGTCACGAAGGACTTGTGTTGTCTGTCAGAGAAATATCAGAAGTACCTAAGTGTTTTGAGTTCTGGAAAATGCTACTTTTCACTGATGATATCAGATGAGCTATTTATTTTCTCCTGTGCATTAGATTTTCAGTTTCATGTACTCTGTCTGTCTGTCTTATGCAGGGCTCTTCCCATCGTAATACTTTTTCACCTACTTCATAACATGGAGGCATTTTTTTTAATGTATAAATTGGAAATGTACAGAAATTAGTATTTTTAAAAGTAATGTAATTTCATTTGAAAATTCAAGAGATACCTCCTAAACATGCATGTAGCATGAATAAAATTGCACATGATATCTAATTTGATCTAGTTGCTGAATACTTTTACAGATGGAACATTCAGAAGGAACAGTAATGCAAATAGGGGCTCTTTCTCAAGGCATAAACAATCTAACGGTACGTACCAATTCTCTCTTGTTTCCAAGTCACAAACGTGTTCTGCTAGAATGTTTCTGTAAGAGTTGATTGTTAGTGGTGGTGCTTAAGAAAGAGTAAGTGGGTCAGCATTCTTGTTGCATTCCTTGTTGCAACTTGGCTACATTGTCACAGTCCCCACCCAATAAGTTTTCACTTCTAATTTGCAGAAAGGTAAGATAAATTTAGGCTTACTTTAATTGTTCATAGATGCTACTTAGACTCAGTGACAGATCTTCATCTAATACTTAAAACCAAATGCAAACTGCTAATATATAATTTTTCAAGCATTTTCAGACTAGATGACACTTTATATCAGCTAAAACACCATGAAAAAAAAATCACTTCATTGATTTCTGAATCAAGAGCAGCTGTTTTTCAGAGCTAATTCACCAAAAGACATAATTACCAATTATATAACATAGTTGTCACATGTAACACAAAAGTCTCTGTGAGAATTTCCTCAAGCTAATAATAGGTTTGCTATTTTAGGCTGCATTCAAGAGAGATCCTTTAATTTTATGTAGCTCTAACCCCCTCTATTGTAAATCAGATCTCATTACAATTAACAAACTATAAGTATTTTAGCTGAATGTTCTTATTTGTTCCCATCTTTTTGTGTTTGCTCAGAATATGCTAAGCCAAGATGAACTGCTGAATGACAACAGATTTTTAACACCTACCCTTGAAGACTGGAGATGATGCTTCAACATGACCAACAACGCTAATACCTCATGCCTGTCCCGAGGAGTGGCCTGGAGAAGCTTGATGCTGTGGTGCAGAAAAGCTTTAGCTCTTTTCTGCCCCTGAGACTTAACATATAGCACCTAACCTTGCTAATGTAGCAACACTCCACAGRTACCTTTCCTCCACACATTTTTCCATACTATGTAAACTGAAATGGGTGTTGAGAAAGAAAAGTGGTGCAAAATTCTTTCCTAGGCAGAGTCCAGAAAGCCAAGACTGGCAAAATATTATATCTTTTCCATCTTCTTTTACATGGTATGTTTATGTACAGTTATATGAAAGGTCTTTTATAGTTTTGTATTTTTATAATTAACTTTCAATGCAGGAATCATGAGTATTGTGTCATGCAGGCTATCAGAGCCATTCAAATTCAGGCAAGTGTTAGAGTACAGCTCTAATGGTTACTGCAGTCTGGCCAGAGAATCTTTCCCATAAAAGGATTTTAATTTTGCATCCCTTMTGTTGTTAGCACATGTTCTGTCCTCTTTCTTTCTGAGTACAGTTTGCAGAATATTCATCAAGACCTTGATTGTATCAGGAAGAGGATGACAGTTGTCATGTTCACAGATTGTTTCCCAACTCAAAAGGTAAAAGGTACTGAACAAATGCAACAGGAAGTGTCTTGTTAACTTTAGAACTACCGGGAAAACTGATGGCTCCCCAAACTGGCTCTGCTTTGAAAGTACATTTTTTAAKTGTGAGATTTTTTTTTTAGTCAATACCAACATGTTTGTGAAGAATGAGCAATTATTCATATACTCAGCTACCATAACATGTATATTTMTAATATTAGAATGGTATTCACCACTCTCCTGTGTGGCAATTGCAACAGAATTTGCAGCACCATTATATAACTAATAATAGTTCTTTCTTTAACCAGAACAACTGAATAAGGTCTTTGTGCATTTAAACATTTTATCTAAGATGGCTTGTACTAAGGCACACATGCCAGTATTTGAAGGTTCTTATGAGCCTTCTGAACAAAGCAGTTAAAAGAGGATCTGAGCCTAGTATCTGCACAGGTTCCTGGGAAGAAAGGGATGATAATTAGCTGGCTGTTTTTCTATACTTACTACAAATTAAACATGATTATAACCACCTTTGAGATTGGAGATACCAGTCTCCAGTGTGAAATGCTCCACAACTTTTGTTGAGAACTGGAGCTTATTATAAATCATGCTGCTGGTACACTTTCAGTTTGCTTTTGACTCCAGCTGGGGGTAAAGGTAGCTTTTCATAGAGTACTGATTTATTTAGCAGTAGGACACAGATACTATTGTGCTGTGACATGTAAAATGTGACTAGGAAATGTCAGGCTATGACCTTACTGAAACAAACAATTATATGCTTAAAACACCTGCAAAATAGATCTGCTGCYTTTCTACTGAGCAGGGCAGCAGTGCAATTTTGCAACACAAGGATGCAGAGCCAGCAACTGCTTCCATGGAGGAGCTTTTCAACGGTGAAAGTGATTCCTTTCTGGCAGCAGTCACTCATGACCTTGTTGTGTATGTGCCTGTCAAGTGTACTAATAAGGTACCAACGGTGTTATCTTAAGTAGGAAAAAAAGCCAGAGGATATATCTGCTTGATTGTACTGTAAAGAATTAGTACAGCCATAGCTGCTTTGCATTGAACCCTCCTGTCTGGTTGGAGGGTTATCAATTTACACATTAAAAGAGCCTGAGAGCATGTGGACTGCTAACCACCACCCTTTCCAGTAGGTGGGAACCTCAGGTACTGTTCAGGGTATGCAGCGGGGGTTATCAGGGGGACAGTTTAAAGATACTTACCATGCACTGTATACATTTTTCAGGATACACCTTGTACTATAAGATCAGATTTTAAAAGTTAAAACATATTTTTGTGGGATTTTGATTGTTCCAAGAGTTACAATTAAGTCTACTTTGTCACTGGAAGATGAAACAATAATTGAAAAGGCAAAGGAATCAGTCTATATATCAGTAGCCTAAAAATATGTACTAAAAGGTTCTAATCCATCAATGCAATCGCCACTAGGTAGTAGATCACATACCTTGGGCATTTGAAAAAAATGTGTCAGGTTAATTCATCAGCAGACTGATTTAAGTATGATAAACAGAATGAGCTGCCTTGGTATCATGGGGATATTCCAAGCAGATTTGCAATTTCATTTGATGTATTTATAACTCACTGTGTTGTTGTGCTAACTTGGCTGTGAATATTCYATCTACACAATTTTTAATTTGTTCCTTGTTACGTAGTAAGAAATCTCAGCAAGAAGAATTAAAAATAAGAGAAAAAAAAGGTTTAGTTTTTTAACTGTTAAAAATAAATTCTGGATGTTCCTCCATCTCTTGGCTGATTGTGTAATGATTCTAATGCAGAATGAGTGGTTTCCTGTGGGGGTCAGAATCACAGTCCAAACCTAAGCAGAAGCTGAATCCTAGTGTTTGGTATTTCATTGAGTACATTTGTAGCAAATTATATACCAAATTTAAACTAGTAAATTCTGTTGTTTTTTTGCTTCAGATGAATAAACACATTTAATAAATGTACGCTTTAGCATCTGAAGAAACCACCTCCTTCTGTGAGGAGATTTTTCTTTTTCCAGACTCTAGGGCAAATGTAGTATAAAATAATCCTCAAGTATGAATGTGCTGTACTGCAGGCACTGAACATTTACAATCAGATGCTATATGCTAAAAACACTGAGATGAGGTGTTAGCAGTTTGACTCACCATAACTGACAAGAGAAGCAGCCCTGTCTTCTCTTAAGCAAAGAGAATTTCTGAAACTGCCAAAARAGCTAACACTACTCTTGTAAAGGAAAACAGTCAAATCATGTAACATCCCTGGATATTCATGCCTGTAAATGCATCCCAGACCTTCCACGTTTAAGTGGAAGCGCTTGTTTAGGCAAGACTGTCAAAAGGTGGCATGAAATTATATAGGCCGCCTAAATAAATTCCACACTAAAGAAAATCCAGGTTACGCTAACAAAGCTATTTGCACCTGACACAAATTTTGTTCAACTACTTTTCAATTATATACTGCAGCTTCTTTCTTAGTCCCTGGTAAAGAACTGCCAATAGCATTAAAAAAAAAAAAGTTCTTTGTTGTTACTTTCACAGGGATGCAGTAAGAAATTATCTGTAGCGTGCAGTCCTGTAGTCCCAGTGCTCTATTATAACACTCTCTCAAATTTCATACCCAATTAACAAACCAACAGCTTTATTGTTTCCTACCTCATGAATTCTTCTGACAAATTATCACAGAATTAGGGATTTAACATTTCRTACTAACTTACAAAGTCAGTCTAAGTTACTTGTACATAATTCAACATTATTTCTGATTAATTAGTACTAAAACACTCAAAAGTTAATTATGCAGCTAAAATCCAGAAACCGAACTGAGAAAAACTTGCACAGTTACATACAAGGGGTCCATGCTGAAAATATGCAGTACTTACTTAGGGAAAAGTGGTGCATGACATCAGTGTTAGTAAGCAAACGTGCTGCTCTTGGGATAGCCTAGTTTGTCCAGGTTGGGCTGACATGCGAACTGAATCATCGGCGGCGGCCCACACATCAGGATGAGCGTCTCGTTGCCCGGGGGAGGCAGGTGGGTCTTTATCATGTCCGCAGTAATGAAGCCCGAACTGTACTTCCAATCTAAAGCAAATAAATTATCAATTTAAATCTTTGTACAGTCTGAAGGTTATTCTTACGTATGTGTATTGCATTCACGAAGCAGCTGAAGGATCAGTACAGCTATGCCACATCCCCACAAGCAGAAGGTTAAAGCTCCCACTGAGCTTCTCCCTCCCTTTTCAGTTTAGTCAACACCAGGCCATAGTGCTTTAACCCACATGCATGATAACTGTGTCTCATCAGAGCCTAATCTCATCTGTGGAAAAGCACAAAGCTCTACATGTGACATTTTTCAAGTATTAAGCAATTTAATTAAATGTTGGTGTAGCTTGATTCAGCTCGGGAAGGGGAAAAATTTGGGCTCTGGAATGTCCAAAGCAGGACCACAATGATATACATCCAAAGATCCACCAAGTATCATGGGGCTGATCCCCCCTCAAAAGTTAATCATTAGGATTTCTTCTTTTACACTCTTGGTCATGGTAAGGAGGAGCTTGGTGTTCTTCAAGAGGGCTTAAAACTAGGAGGAGCAGAGGCATTCCCAGTGCGTAGCAGTAGCCTACCTTGTGGAGGTCTGTCCAGGGTATACCACAGTGTGAGCTGATCAGGATGCGTCTTAGCGATGTCCTCTAGTTCACCTCTCAGTAATATGTCTTTTTCTGTCTAAAAAAAAAAAAAAAAAAAAGGACTTTTTTTTTTAGCTTCAAACTCCCTTCAGCGGTCCTGTAATATAAGTTCACCTGTAATATAAGTTCATTATCAATATAAGTTCCGTCAGCAAGAACTAATTCAATGATAGCTAATCCAAAGTGATTTAACACCCCCCCCCACACACACACACCTGCACATTACACAATATGCTATAAAATTTGCTTGAAAAATTCAGATTATGAGCTTTATTCCCTATGAGCGAGTAAGATCAATGGATGAATAAGGATCTACTCACATTATCTCTTCCAATAAGGCATTTTGGCGGGGGGGGCGAAATATATGAAACTATGAGAAGTAATACTCAAAATAAATGAAAGATGATGGTGGAAAACTACAGTGCATTTACAAAGGGCCACACAGATAATTTTACAACTCAATTTCTCATTCTTAAATCATTTTAACCCAAAACAATATAATAAGCACTTATATGATAACCAGTTCTTACCTTTCCCCCCAAAAATGATCATTTTAAATATACTATCTCAGGTCAAATTTTGTCATAAATGAGTATGAGTATTTGTCATGAATATAGAGCCAGAGAGACAGAGACTCTTGAAGCATGCACTGCACACAGAATAGTATTTTTTTTGTCTGGAATTCAGTGAGTCAAAAATAGAGCAGATAGAGGGGGGAAAAAAACAAAAAAAAAGGAAGGGCGGGGGGGGTCCTTTAAAGAAGGCCAAACAAAAGATTCAGCATAGTCACCTGATTAGCAAAAAGAAGGCAACATTTTGTGGAATCCTTAGGATCATTTGTGATCTGTCGAATCAGCTGCAACATCGGTGTGATTCCTGTTCAGAATAAAGCAGTTCAAAAGCAATCATTTACTTTGGCTTACACAGGGCTACAATTTCATATCTTACCACTTCCTTCCTTCAATGGGTACATATTCTTTACAGGATTATATACTTCTAAATGCCTAATCCATGCCAGATTGTAGATGTTGGGAGGTTTTGTTTTTATGGATAGTTTAAAAAAACAACAGCCATGCTTGTATTTCAGTCTTCCTTCTTCCACATTCTTTATCATACACAATAACCTCAAAACATATTCCTAAAAAATATTTTTTCCCTCATTGAGACTAGAGCTTAGAGTGTTGTAGAGACTTCTCTAAACTCACAGAGTAAAATGAAGACTGAAAACCCTGTGCTCTCAGCACTGAACTCAGGCCACCAGAGTGTCCCAATATCACCAAACACTTGTGAAAAGAAATAAAAGCTCCATCCCAAATAGCTCAGAATTAAAGAGGGAGGAAATCCAGKGGGCAATCAACTAACTCTTGAGCAATATGACTTTGAAGCATCACATTCATGCAGCAGTGCAAGCAGTGATAGGGGCCAGCTTAGTAGCCAGGAAGATGCTTGATGCCCCTCACAAGTATCTGTGAAGCTAATTTAATTCTCTAGAGTCACTTTCCATATGAAGAGCACAGTTTTACCTGTTCCTCCAGCTATCATCCCAAGATGCTTTACAAACTTCTTCTGTGCTTCAGACTTCTTATCAGGCTTGATAAAAAATGTACCTGGAAGAAATATTCAAAACCTGTAATTAAATTAGAGCTTAGAGAGAAAATTTAGCTGGAAAGCTTCCCTGGGAATTAAACACTATAAGCTACCAAATCAACTTATTAGCATGGACCTTCTGGAAGTGCTGAAAGTGCTCAGCATGGAGTTAAGTGCAAAGGGCAGAAATCACTTTTTGTCTGTCTGTATGTACCAATMCTAGCTTTGAACAACCAATTTACTCTTTCCCTGTTACCCAGCATCACTTATAATATACTCAAGGACTGGGTGTGCTATTGCTCCAAAATGGTATGAAATCAGTCTGTAATTCAGTTAATCTCCAGGAATCAAACCAAGTGGCAAGCTCCATGAAATGTAGCCTACATGGAACACACACAATCATTTTTTGAGAGATCAGTAACTAATAACAAGCTTCCCTAGATACTTCATAGCAACTAAAGCAGGGCAGAAAGGAATAGCTGTAAGACATGGATCACTGGTTTCTTCTGAAATATAAGGGATTCATCATATTATTTATCATAAAAGTTCTCAATTCAAAGAAGTACTGAGCACTTCATCCCCTGAAGTAGGAATTTTAAGTGCAAAATCCTTCCTAGGATAGATGCAAAAGTTTGATCTTTTACATGTACTTTGAAATAYGATTACTTCAAATTACCACACTCTCCCAGCCAAATAAAGCCTGATTTACTAATGAAACAGAGCTGGCTCACAGGCATGTTATTCAGTAATAAGGATGAGATTCCCAAAAGGATTATTTTAGGCCACAATCTCCCTAGCTTAAAGTACATCTGAAACATCTCTCTCCATTTAGCTATACCTGAGCTGTTTCCAATATAGTCTTCTCAGTGATATGCAACAACTGATTGTTCAGATCTAATTATACTTCCCATGAATTATATTTCACAGGCGTGAAAGAACTAGAAGTACTTGTCATTCCCAGTACAAGTATGTACTACAAGTACTCTTCCCCATCATAACCAGCTGGTCAAGATCAGGAGGTGTCGATTTTCTCCCTTCCATTTTGCCCYCCAAAAAGTCTATGAAGTTGTCAAATGTAAAAAAAGAAACTCTGAAAATAACCAATACCAGTTCTTCCCCTTTGCTCTTCTACCATCCAAATTTATGTCACAGTACCTGCCCCTTCATAGACAAGGAGTCCATTTGGCCCTCTGAAGTCAATAACATCCCCAATCTTCATGTTGTCTAAGTACTGAGACATCTTTCCACCTTCTGGGAACTTGGGATTCACATTTTTATAGTAGACCTGTAAAAATAGTAATTTCTATGATGTCATCCATTACCTTTCCAGTAGGCAATACTACAAACTACAAAACAAACTAAAACGACCAAAAATACTCTGCAGGTCTGAAATTTGTGATTGAGATGATTCTCAACTCTGTCACCTGTTTGTGTCTTGCAGCAGGAAAGAACCAAAATAAGTAAAAGGCTCTTTCATGGCATGTTTTTATGCCCTCTGCTAATAGCTAGGCTAATAAGAATAGGTGGGAGGCAGATTATGTAYAGATTATGTCCTCATTTCACTATTCTTCCAGTGATAACCTTGTGTCATACCATTTTTACAATCTCTCCTTCTGAAAATGGCATTGCTGTGTCATGTAATACCCTTTTCACATTTCAAAGCGTATGGGAAATAATAGGTAATTATCAACAACTCGCAACATTTATAACA